TATCCAAGCGGCTAAGACTAGTGACCCAGGTGCCACTAAATCAGGCTTCAAGATTCCAGTATAAGTTCGAGAAGGACCTCTTGATCAATAAGAAGCTACAGCTGATGCAGGCTTTGTTCCCACCATGGTCTGCTTGAACTTCATGCTAGCCCAAGGACGATCACTAGTTTTTGAATAGTTGATCACAGCAGATCCATCCTTTGGGCTTATCACCACGCCAGGCCATGGAAAATCTAATTTTGTCTCAAAATTTTCATTTGATATAAATATAGCAGTAGCAACGTTGGACATAGAGATAACACTTAATTGGTTGAACACGTCATAACCTTTGCCGACACATATTACGATGGTAGAATAGACATTCTTTAGCAACTCAACTGAACCACAGGAAGATATAGTTTTGTTGTAAATTAGTGGTAATTTTTCCACCAAGGCACTTGCAGGGAACATAGTCCATCCGGTGAAGGTTAATCCAGTTCCCAAAGTCAACATTCCAGGCAAATGAACGGTCGACGCTGCCAGCAGCAACTGTTGTGGTCCATGGCATCGAATCAAAAATGGAAAAATAATCAGGACCAGTGTTTCCTCCTGCATGAGAAACAAAAACACCATTTTCCATGGCCCCGAAACAAGCTATTGCAATTGTGTTCTCATAGAAAGGAACGTCCCAATCGTAACCAAAAGAGAGTGACAATATATCAACCCCATCGGCAACTGCCTGGTCTATACCAACAAGAAAATCAGATTTGTGGGCTCCTTCATCCCGAAAGACCTTATAAACAGCCAATCTAGCACGTGGCGCTAGCCCTCTTGCTATTCCGTCTGCATAGCCGAAGAATAATGCGCTTTCCACAAAATTCCCAGCTGTTGTTGATGCAGTGTGAGTACCATGGCCGTCAGTGTCCCTAGCTGAGTTCATGCTGATGGTAATATTAGGCCTAGCACCAATCAATCCTTTGTTGAAGTATCTTGCTCCAATCAACTTTGAGTTACACATGGAGGCATTGAATTCTTGTCCAACCTCGCACTTTCCCTTCCACTTGGCTAGAATTGGTGACGTCCTCATACCATCATCTCTGAAGCTTAGGCTCTCCGGCCATACTCCAGTGTCAACAAGACCAACGATCACATCTTTCCCGTAATTCGAAGCGGGCCATAGGGCCGTGGAAGGATTGAGAGAGAGAAACTCAGGAGTGTGAGTAATACAAAGTTTGATTTGCTTATCATTGTAGGCCGAGATGAAGCCCAATGACTTCTTCAAGGTTTCCAGTTCATCTTGAGATAGGAGTGCACAAAAACCATGTGCCACATTGTTGTAAGTGTAGATCAACCTGGGTGGTGTTTTCGAATATTGAGAACTGGTTGTTGTGACAATAGGAATCGTTGGTTTTAAGGAATCAACAGTGGAGTAGTACCAATCATGGTGGCTAGTGAAAGCCTTGGGCATGAGAGACTTGTCCATGTGAACAATGTAAGTGGATCTCTCCACTGAAGTTGACCCAACATCTTGAATTGATAAGAAAACCACAGCAACAGCAGCTCCAGGTTTAGCTTCAGCTTCAGAATTAGTTGCAACTGCTACAGCCCAAGCTGTACATTCTTAATTAGCTACATCAAGAGTATTGTATAGTCAGTTAGGAATTGGTTAAGTGGTTAGAAATTGGTTAGGTAGTTACAATGAATTAGTTACAAGCTTAATTCAGCATTGTATATATAAATACAGTTGTGTAATTCATAATTCAATGAATGAGAAAGAATATCCTTTTCTTCATGGTATCAGAGCTCCTATAGCTCCCATGAGCACTCTGAATTTCTAATATCAATTTCTCTATAGTTCTTCAAAGCTCTTTAAGAAGCTTCACAAATCTTTAATGACTTCTTCCACATCTTCAATGACTATCTCAAGCACTCTTCCTCCAAATCTCAGTCTTCTCATCTCAAATCTCAATTCCTTTATAACTGTCAAGCTAGGTTCAGCAAATTTTATCATTTGGAGAACTCAAGTTCTCAATATTCTACATGCTACAAATCTGCTAGGGTTCGTTGATGGTTCTTCTCCTCCTCCACCATTAACAATCAAAAATGTTGATGGAGCTGAAGAAATCAATCTAGATTATGCACAGTGGAAATAGATTGATGCACATCTCCTGAGTTGTATTATAGCTACACTCACACCTGTGGATTTTTCTTCTATTTTGCATCTACAACAGAGTGTTGAGGTCTGGAATGTTATCTGTAAAAGGTTCACTACTGTGTCTCGTAGTCATATTCATCAAATGAAGAATCGTTTGAATAATATGACTAAAAGCTCTCAGACAATTGAAGAATACTTGTCTCAGATTAAAAATCTGGTAGATCAACTTGCACTTGCTTCTTCTCCTATAGAAGAAGAAGATCTAGTTCTTCTCACCTTGAACGGTTTACCAGATGAATTTGATGCTTTAAAGACTACAATTCGAGCAAGAACGGAAGCTATTTCTTTGGAGGAACTTTCCTCTCTTCTCTGTTCAGAGTGTCTGCATATTGATTCAAAAACAAAGAAGATTCAGGCACATGAATCCCCTATTGCATATGCTACTACTCGTGGCTCTTTTGGCCAAGGACAATCTTCGTTCAGAGGTAACAGAGGTAGTTCTAGATATGGTTACAGAGGTCGATACTCTCCTAGAGGGAGAGGTAGACAATTTTCAGGAGAACAACACAACAACAACTTGATTTGTCAGATTTGTGGTAAGACTAATCACTCAGCCTTGGATTGTTGGCATAGGTTAGATGCTACTTATCATCCCACTCAGCCACAGTCTCAGCAAACTGCCTCTCCATCTTATCAATCTTCATAATCATCAACTGGACTGTCTAACTCTCAAGCTTATGTGGCCTCTGCTCCATCTCAGTATGACTCTTCCCCATGGTATCTTGATTTAGATGCATCTGATCATATGACTAATGTTCTGTCAAATCTGAGTCTTCATCAACCTTACCAAGGTTCTGATCATATCACTGTTGGTAATGGTAATTTTATCCCTATTCTTCACACTGGTAAGGGTCTTTTGCCCACTCCACATCATACTTCAAACTCAATAAAGTTTTGCACACTCCTATTGCTTCTAATCTTGTGTCTGTGCATAAACTCACTAAAGATAATCATTGTACAATTACATTTGATGATTCTTTCTTCGTTATTCAGGACAAGCACATGAAGGGCATTTTGCACAAGGGCCTTAATTCGCATGGTTTATATCATTTTCATGCACCACCCATGCCTGCCTCTTCTTCATCTGCTGCTGTTGTTTCTCCTTCTTCTTCTATTTCTCATAATGCTTTCCTTAATTCCACTGCTACTGCTGTGCCTAAAACTGTTTGGCACCAGAGGTTGGGTCATCCATCACCTCTCAAGTTTAATAAACTGAAGTCTTCTCTTTATGTTGCTTGTAATAAAGATTAGAATAATGATTCCCCTTGTGTTCACTGTTGTATGGCCAAAAGTCATAGATTACCTTTTAATCTGTCTAACTCTACTGTTAATAAACCTTTTCACTAATTCACAGTGATGTTTGGGGACCATTTTTACCATCTGTTTCTGGTTACAAATACTATGTAATCTTTGTTGATGAATATAGCAAGTTTACTTGGCTTTTTCCCTTATGCTACAAGAGTAAAGTTTTTGCTAAATTTGTGGAATTCACAGATTATGTTGCAAATTAATTTTCTACTCACCTGAAAATTTTCGCACTGATGGTGGCACTAAGTTTGTCAATTCAACTATCACTCAATTTTTTCACACTCATGGCATTCTCCTTCAGATTTCTTGTCCACATACACCTCCTCAAAATGGAGTCTCTGAAAGGAAGCATAGGCATATCACTAAGACTGCCATTGTTTTGCTTCATCATTCTTCCCTTCCCATCAAGTACTGGTTTGATGCCATTTCTACAGCTATCTTTTTGATTAATCGTTTGCCTAGTTCTAAAACTCCTCATTCTTCTCCTTATGAATTGTTGTTTCATAAATCTCCAGATTACTCTTTTATGCGTGTGTTCAGCTGTCAATGTTTTCCCTGGCTAAAACCCTACACATCTCATAAACTACAACCTAAATCTACTTTGTGTGTATTTATTGGTTATCATCCTTCTTACGAAGGCTACAGGTGCTTAGATCCTTCCCCTGGGAAGGTGTATTTGTCTCGCCATGTCATCTTTCATGAGCAAATCTTTCCATTTTGTACCACCTCTGCTACAGCTACAGCCTCTGCTGCTCCTATTTCTCAGACTTTGTCTCAGCTCCAGTCTTTTTTCTGGTCTCCTTCTTTAAATCTTCAGTCTTCATCTCATCCTAAGTATGTTTATGTCCCTCTGCAGGCTGTCATGTCTCAACCTTCTTTGCATTCCTTTTCTGCTCAACCTACACCATCTTCTGCTCATCCTTCTCAGTCTACTGCATCTACTGATCAGTCCCTTTCTGCTGGTGTCCAGCCTCCTTCTTCTATTTCCATTTCTTCTATTTCTATTGATCTTCTTCTTCCTCCTTCTACCACTAACACTCACCCAATGCTCACTCGATCCAAAACTTCTTCTCAAGCCTTATTGACCTCTTCTTCTGCTTCTTCTTCTGTCTATCTTGACACTAAACCATTGACCTATCGGCAAGCTCTTCAATCCTCAGTCTGGCATAATGCAATGTTGGAGGAATATAATGCTCTTCTAGCCTAAGGTACTTGGTCATTGGTTCCTCTACCTTCTTCAAAATCGGTCATAGGCTGCAAGTGGGTTTTTCGCATTAAGCGTAATTCTGATGGATCTATTGCTCATTATAAGGCTCGTTTGGTTGCCAAGGGGTTTCTCCAACAAGAGGGTATCGACTATACTGAAACTTTTAGCCCTGTCGCCAAACAACCCACCATTCGCATTTTATTGTGTGTTGCCTTGCATTACAACTAGCCTCTCAAGCAACTCGATATCAGTAATGCTTTTCTTCATGGAACCTTGGAGGAGGAAGTTTACATGACTCAGCTTCTTGGTTTTCCTAGTGCTGCTCATCCACATCAGGTTTGTCTCTTAAAAAAGGCTATCTACAGTTTAAAGCAAGCTCCTAGAGCTTGGTACTCAATATTTTCTACTTTTCTTTTATCACAAGGTTTCATTAACAGTCACTGTGATAATTCCTTATTCATTCAAAGGATAACTTCTACCATCATTATTGTCCTAGTCTATGTTGATGATATCCTGGTCACAAGCAGTAATTCTTCTCACATTGTCTCTCTTATTGCTCACATGCATACTGTTTTTTCCATGAAAGAGTTGGGGAACATTTCATATTTTTTGGGGGTCTCCATTAACGATTGTAGTGATTCTTATTTTTTGTCTCAACATAAGTATGCCTCTGAAATTCTTCTTCAGGCTGGAATGGCAAATTGCAAGCCTTGCAATTCCCCAAGTTCTGTTAAGCCTTCTCTCTCTTCAGATTCTCATATTCCATTTAGTCAACCTGAACTTTATCGCAGTATAGTTGGGGTACTCCAATACCTTACGATCACCAGGCCTGATTTGTCTTTTTCAGTTAATCAAGCCTGTCAACATATGCATGCTCCAACTGTTGGGCATTTTGCTTCAGTTAAGAGATTGCTTCAATTTATTCAAGGACCTTTAACTCATGGTCTCACATTCAGTCCTAGTTCTTTTGATTTACAGGTCTTCTCTAACTCTAGCTGGGCTGGTGATGTTCTCAATCGTCCCAGTACTTCTGGCTATTGTGTGTATCTTGGTTCGAATCTTATTTCTTGGTCAGCAAAAAAAATAACCCACAGCGCCTCATTCCTCCACAGAGGCAGAATATAGGTCTTTGGTGCATACTATTGCTGAACTTACCTGGTTGCAAATGTTGCTTTGTGAGAGTTGCTCCCATTTTATGGTGTGATAACCTCTCGGCTATTGCCTTAGCTTCCAACCCTGTGTTTCACACTCGTTCAAAACATATAGAAGTAGATTGTCACTTCATTCGCGAAAAAGTTGCCCACAAATAGATTTTACTCTGTTATGTTCCTTCTCTAGACCAGATTGTTGATATCTTTACAAAGCCTCTCTCTGTGTCTAGGTTCCAATATCTTCAAGCCAAGCTTCTGGTCTCTTCCTCTCCCATCAGCTTGCAGGAGAGTGATAAGACAACCACTGCAACAGCAGCTCCAAGTTTAGCTTCAGCTTCAGAATCAGTTCCAACTACTACAGCTCCAGCTGTACATTCTCAATCAGTTATATCAAGAGCATTGTATAGTCAGTTAGGAATTGGTTAAGTGGTTGGGAATTGGTTAGGTAGTTACAATGAATTAGTTACAAGCTTAATTCAGCATTGTATATATAAATACAGTTGTGTAATTCATTATCCAACGAATGAGAAAGAATATCCTTTTCTTCATGAATGAACAAAAACCATGTGAAGAAGAAGAACAACATGAAAATTGATGAGCAAAGTAGAGGAATTTGATCAATAACCAAACCCATTTTTCTTTCACTATCCAAAACTCATGCAAGAGGTATTTATATATGCGACCTGCCTTCAACTATTTGTATAGTTTTCTACAAATAATAATAATATTGTAGATCCTATCATACAGTTTTATTTTTGTAAGGATTCATAGGGAAAAACCTTGACATTACCGTCAGCAACTTGGCAGGGAGTTGCAATTGTTGCTATTAGCCACTGATCAACCTAGAACTGCAGGCCGAATGTTTAGGCGTTTTCTCTAAAAAATATTGGGAATACTAACAAAATTATCAAAAAATTTATCCAATCACTTACATAGATGTGGGACTCATACTCATGTATTACATAGATGTGGAACTCACTCATGTAGAATCCATACCGATATGAGTATTTGATAGATTCTTTGATAAGAAATTTGGCATTTCTAACATTGTTGAGACTGAAATTAAAAAAGTCACTTCTATGGGGATGTGGTTTGGAAATACTCTTCTGATCCTGGGGGACGCTCGTGATCCTCTGCTAGTCACCTGAAAAGGAGCAAATACTCCGGTCGGGGGTGCCAGAATTAGCACTCCGACGGGCAAGTTAGTCTCTACACTCAAGATTACTTGTATTCTAAGTTAAGCTTAATAGTTCTCACATACCTTTCTAGAACTGAAGATCTTGTATTTATAGTATTCTCTTTGGGCTTTGGGGCCTGGCCCAACCCTAGTCCTTTACATGTACTTCTACACGGCCCTTGTTTCACTGGTAGGAATGCCAGCTATTTTATTTGGTCCTTCAATTGAATAGGGTCAATGCCGAATAGAGGTTATGTTCTGGACCAGACTGGTCCACTCCTGTTGATCCAAGATTATTCGGCTCCCACAATTGCCCCCCAAACACCCCACTAGTATCAGTTAGTCGGCGTGTTTGGCTTGTAGTCTGGAGGTTAAAAATTCGGCGGTTACTCCTCTTCCCGATGCGTGTCAGAACACGTACATGCTTTTTGATCATTGTAATGCTTTCACGTCCCTTCGTACACTGCCTCTATTTAATGCGATTTGAATTTGTCTCTTCGAATGTATGTTCTGAATACTCAAAGATATCTGGCTCACCTTCTAGTGCAACTCCTACATTCCGCGGCTTCTGCAACCTTATTGTTTCTCGCTCTTTCCTTCGTCTCCTGTAAGTTTTCTTCTCCTTCATTTTTGATCCCCCTTCTTTATCTGCTTTTAGTTTTCCATAATCCTTGCGTTGGCCAAAATGAAAAAACATCTGAAGGAGCTCCTTTCTGCGGATCGAATCTCCGGCTTTCGACGCCATTTCTCCATCTCCGACAACGTCCATCTGTCACTTTTGGCAGACAACACCACTGATATGGTGTGGGAAGATGAGAGCACAATCGTCTTTCCTCTCCTATCAATTGCTGAGGGCGGCGTCTGTTTTCCTCTTCACCCACTTTTGAGGGTCGTCCTTTGGTACTGGGGTCTCATCCCTTCCCAACCCAATGTGAACTTCTTTCGCATCATAATAGGGATTGTAGAGATAAATCGGCGTCTTAGAATTAATTTAGGTATTCCCGCCATTCGGCATTGTTATGTCCTAGCCAAATCTACCGGTCGGCTAGGACGCTACTTTCTTAGAACCAAGGATACTAATCATCACTTAGTGACCATGCTTGCCAGCTCTGGCAAGCGTGTCGATGATGTGATGGTCGTTGTCTGCAGCAATTGGGAATTCGGCGAAGGTGAAGATCGACTAGACCCTGTGCCAAGGTGAAAAGGCGAACCAGGTGGCCGATCAGATCACTTTGTTTTTATTATTTACATATGTATGTATTCGGCACTAAGCTCATCTAATCGTTTTGTTTATGCAGGCAGTGACTTGAAGAGAGTGTTGGTTTCAGACGACGACGTTGTGCTCGTAGAAATTAAAACTGCGCTACAGTTCGTCGGTCGTCCAGACCTTCAAAAACAAGGGAGGGCAGCCCACATTCTCCTGCGGTACGAGCCAACTTACGCGACGTTCTCGGCGGCAGACAATATTCCGATCTCGCGAGGTGACAACCATCTTACAGCCCTCATCTTCCCCAGCTTCAAAAACTTGAGACAGATCGGCTTAGAATCATCTGATTCTGAACATGTGGAAGAACAAGTGGCCGAACCAATCGTCGAGGACCCAGACCGGTTGGCCGCTGAAGTTGATGAAGCTATTAATTTGGCCTTCAAGAAAGCCGAATTGAACTCTTCTGACCCTCTATCTACATCAAGCCGAGAGGACGGCTTCGAAGATATTTTTACAAACTTGGAAGACCTTCCCAGCGATTTTTCTGAGGATATGGCTGGGGAAAATCTTACGCAGATGGCACGAAAAAGAAACGTCGAACGCATGGCCGCCTGACAAAAGGCCGTAGCCATCCGTTCCGAACTTGTCCCGACTGAATCTGTTGCCCCTACTGTTGTAGAAGAAACGGCTCACGTTGTCATGGCCGAGATGGAAAAGGAGGTCGAGCGCCCGATTACAGAAGGTTGGCCGATTTCGGAGGATCGGGGTGAAAAACGAAGCGCTGAGGGCAAGGACAGCTCCGAAGAAGGCCCCAATGAAAAACGGCCACGCTTAGAGGAGTCGACTGTGGTTACTCCTTTCGTTATTGAGCCAAAGATGAAAAACATGCCGATCTCCTCTGAAACGTCAGCTTTGAAAGATCCAGCTATGGCACTGAGCCTAGCTGCCTCGGTCTCCTTGCCGGCTGACGAGGCGACCTTTCGTGCCGAGTCAGATTTGGTGACAATAGCATTAGCCGCCTAGTCGGCTCTTCTGGTACGTGACTAACTCTTTGGTTTGGTTTGCATTTGATGTTTCTTGGCATATGACGATCCTTTGTTTTATAGACGGTTGGAAGGATCGCCGAATTGGGCCACCGCCAGTATGATGTTGTTAAGAGGATTGGCCGTTTGCAATCTAAAGACGAGGGTCAAAGGAGCAGGGTGGAGTTTGAGGCAATGAGAGCCGCGATGGAAAGTGCGCGGGCCGAGGCTGAGAAGGAAAGGGCCAGGACTGCTGATCAACTCAGATTTGTTGTCGAGGAGAGGACAAACGCGAGCGAGGAATCGCTCAAGTTAGCCAAGAAGGCGCTTGCCAAGCTGGAGGCCGAGTTGGGAGAGTTGAAGCAAGCTAAGGAGAAAGCCGACTCTGAGGCTTCGGCGGCGTTCGAGGTTGGGAAGAGCTCCGTCCTTAATGTCTATGTAGAAGAAGTCCCCAAATTCGAGAATCGGGGATTCAAACACAGCTAGCTCAAAGCCCTTGCTGCCGCTGGAGTTACATTGGCCACGCCAATTCCATACGAGCAAGTGGACGTTGAGCCGCTTGAGTCTGACCCTGAGACTTGATTTGGGAGACCTTCTAGTTTTGTTAGGTTTTTCTCAATTTCAATGTATGTTTTTTTTAGTAGATTTATGTTAGTTCAAGGTAATTTTCATGTATAAATTAGTTACTACCTACGCTTAATTTATTAATGAAAATTTCCTTTTCATTTCATAATTCATTGTACGCAGCTTTTGATATTAACGAAGAGTTTTGCTTTTGTTTTTCACTACTTTGGATAAAATGATCATTGTATGTTGTGCTTGCTAATTATCGATCCGATAGGAAGTAAGATCATGAGATGAGTAAATTAAATATCCCATTGCATAGTTGCCAATTATATAACGGTGTAAATCCGAATAAATAAATCCATTCGGCGTCGAATAAGATTAGCTCATGGGTAATGTACGAGTAAATTGGTTCATGAGGCGGCTGGGGCACACAAGCCGAATAAATTGATGAATCTGCCCTTGCCCCAGTTGGTTTATGAACATTAGACACCGAATAACATGCACTCATGAAGTACTGATGAATTGATTCATGGAGCGGCTGGGGCACTCGAGCCAAATAGATTAATGAATCTCCCCTTGCTCCAGCTGGTTCATGAACATTAAACGCCAAATAATACGAACTTATGAGTATTGCTCTGATGAGTCGATTCGTGGGACGGCTGGGGCACTCGAGCCGAATGATTCATGGATCTGCCCTTGCCCCAGTTGGTTTATGAACATTAGACGCCGAATAACACGCACTCATGAAGTACTGATGAATTGATTCATGGAGCGGCTGGGGCACTCAAGCCGAATAGATTGATGAATCTGCCCATGCCCCAGCAGGTTCATGAACGTAAAACGCCGAATAACAGAGGGGGCGATTGGGGCACGTGACTCGATCGGCGCCGGGCTGTTGAGGTTTCGATATTAATGAGATTACCTCAGAGGTGCTGCCTTCGTAGGGAGTAAATGGGTGTGTACTTCATGAACGAAGGTTCTATTTATATGTTTTGACAGCA